TTCCTAAGAGTTACACGTTAATGAGCTCATCTATATCCCAGTTGGCAACCATGTCTCCATTTCAGAAGAGGGAGGGGATCATGTCAGGGCCACACCCAGTCCCATGACCCCGAGACAAGTGAGTTAATTCTGTGCTTCACAAGCAAGCTGGCCCAAGACAGGATAAAAAGCAATTTAATGCTGCTTCTGTGCTTTCTCACTGTTGTACCCCAAAACCACAGCAGCAAAGACACAGCTTAAGAACATCTATTTCTCTTCAAAACCCTAATTTTTTATTTCTCTCCTTGTTACTAGAATTCCCTAAAAGAAATGTGACTCTCACTGGGTCCATTAACTCTCAAAGCAAACGTGGCCAGGGCGAGAAAGCGGCACATGGCTGTCTCAAGCGTTCATTACATCCATTTCTGAGAGGCTGGGCAACCGCTCAGAAGGTTTAGACTTCAGAGACTCTTCCCAGGAGGTGCACGGCCCCCTGGCCTCCTCCCACCCCCAGATGCCCAGGCGCCAGTGGAGCGGCAAATGCCCCAAGGCGCACGCTGCTCGCAGGAGTGCAGATAAAACCCCATCCCAAGTCACACTGGCACAAAGAAGGGGTCTGTGCAGCAAGCCTGCTTGCAGGCCTCAGAGGTTGATCCTTCCAGAAGGCCCAAGCCCCCACATCAGTGTCCCCTCTGACCCCCAGCCACCTGTCTTTAACAATAAAACCCACATGACCCTGCGCTGTTTGCACTGTGTCCTTGGGAGAAAGGAGGAAAAACGAAGGAGCGGTGGTCTAGCAGTGTAAAAAAAGAAGAGCATTAACATGTCTCAATCACCTCCTAAGTATGAGGCATTATAGAAGTGGAAATATCAATATTCCTATTTTACAGAGAAGTCACTCCGAGCACTAACATGATTTGTGATGTCTCACTGCCAACAGGAAAAGTAGGGATGTGCACCCAGGCCTGAAGCAACTAACTTTGCTCCTGGAACAATTATTTGAAGTAACAATGAGCACTTCAGCTGCTGCCCAGCCTCACCTGGCCAGGCCCTCCACCCCTTCCCATTTCCCCCAAACACCAAACTTCTCAAGATGGCACTAAAGGACACTAGCCCAAATTACTCAAAAGTGGGCAGGAAGAAGAGCAAGGGAGACACATCTGCACGTACACATGCATACGTTTACATGCCGTCTCTCCTTTCCCTTCTTGTCCACTGCTACAATTTCATTCTCCGTGGAAAGGCAGCAGCGCACCTCGGCTAGAGGTGGGACTTCTGGGGGCCGCACCGTTTCGACAAAGTCCACGATCGTAACGGATGTGGAGGTCCCCGTGCAGGATGAAACGGTCTTTCCACTGCCAGTTTCTGTAAGACCCCGATAGCTGAGGAGGAGACAGGACACCACCACCTGTGCCAGCTCTGCAGGGCTTCCCCCCCGCCCCATTCCAAAGCCCTGCTCCGCTGGAAGCCTAGCAAGTCAAAGGCAGCAGAAGCACCAGCTCCCCACCTCGCCTCCTCCTCGGGATGGTAGAAATTCACCAACTTTGTTGCTGAGTTAGCAGCACTCTCCTGGGGTCTTCCTGAGGGAGCAAAACCAGCCTCTAAGTCACCACACAGGCCCCTACCCTATTACAAGATAGAGGGAAAACGCCAAAGGAGACTTGTGGGGGAGCCTCAGAGCCACAAAGAGGCCAAGACTGAGCTTGGGCAGGGAGAGGAGAGGAGCCAGCTATGAACATGCACCCTGGGCCCACAAAGAGCCAACTAGGAAGAAAGCCCCAACAACACTTGTCCTACGCTAGGGCCTTCCTACAACTATAAGGAAAGGTGTTTGAGCTTTTTCATGAGAGAATAAGGCAGAATGTCTCCCTTATGGGGAGAAAGCGAGAGCTAGAAAAACTCGCCATCGTCCTAATTCTGAGGGCTGGTCAGCTAGCGGCACCTGTGCAGTTTCACAGGCGAGAAGACCACTCACTGCATCGTCATCTCCCCGAGACGAGGGGCCGTCAGGTCTCATGGAAAACAAAAAAGGTCCTGACTGCCCCACAGGACCGGCGGGTCACAATGAGCTCTGAAAGAGGCTGCCTCCACCCTCTCATCTCACATTGGGAGGTTACAGGATTCATCCTGTTTCCTCGGCTTTCCCCCATCTAACTCCAAAGCCCATGGCACAGCCTCCCAGCAATGGGGCTACACTCTCCTACGGGGCTGTAATAAATGGCCATTCTCTGGCCAAACTGATATTAACTTTTCTTTTCTACTTTTGATGTTACACACAACCCTGTCCTCGCTGTACCAGGAAGCCATTTCACCCATCTGTCTGGGAAGATGATCCAATTTTGGTCCTTTTATCATCAATGCTTTCAGTAACTTTGTTCTACTTCCCTTACTGTAATTACTTTTGAATCATCAACACACCCAGCCAGCCTTAAGGCTCCAAGAACTGAATGCTAAAAAGGAAAAAACAAAAACAAAAACAAAAACCCCAAGAGCCCTACAATGGCAAACAACTTCACTAAAAAGCCACCCAAGCTGGGAGCAGCAATTTGTCTTTTTTTTCTCCTAGAAATTGACCTGTTAATAAACTGCATCACACCCCTTCCCCTTTTTCCAAAGGGAGGCAGGGTAGAGAGATGGGATGCTGGGGAGGTGGGGGGGCGGCAGCAAGGAACTCCTAAAGGAGATCATTAAAACATCTACTCCCCACCCCCCGCTTAAAAAAAAAAAAAAAAAGGATGCAGGATTTGTAAATAATGAGAGACTCAGAAAGTTGGCTTGCTGGTTGCCCGAGCAGCCCAGGAAAATAGATAGTCTTCTCCGGAATGCAATCAAATTACATGGAGAGAGACAGACCCATGGCTGCTGCCTTGAGAATTCAGATTCCTCCAGGGAGATGAAGAACAAACCACACACAAAAAACGTAACTCCAAGAAAATCCAACGAACATCAGCAACCGAACGCTGTCAAGAAGTCAGCTGCTCTGCTTCCTGCTGTCATCTCTTCTGTTCCCCGCCACTGGCCCTGGTGGCTGAAACTTCCAGCTCCGATATGTAAGCTGCCCCTTCAGCAGTCCTGCTCTCTCTCACTCCTGGTGTGATCCCCTCACCAGGAAGGCACCCTCCAGAGCCTCTGCAAGAGGAGGACCAGACAGAGCAGGGAAGCACAGGCTGGTTCTTCCCACTTGTCATTACAGGGAGCCCTCTGGAATCCTTCCACACCCAAATCTCTTCACTTCTGGCTTCCTCCTGGAGTCCTTTCCTGGGATGAGATTGGGAACAGGCAGGAGTGAAGTTCTCAACACAGAAAGCCTCAGCACAGCTGGGCGCCCAGCAGAGGTAAAGTTGCCCCTGGGGTCACACAGCCTTGTTAGTGATGCAGCCAGGAGGGCAGGGCACAAGGAGCAGGGGCTTTTTGGGGGCTGGGATCCAATCAGGCAAAGCTCTCCCCCTCCTCAGGGCAAGCTTATTTAAGGAAGGACCAGCAATGCAGGAAGCATACAGTGCTCCTCCACCCCATTCCACTCCAGCAATTAGGGAAAGGCTGACACCAGCAGCTCAGCTTGCACCCAGGCAAGTTGAGGGAGCTACTTGGGACTGTGAACCCCAGGAATAAGTGACCTACTGCCTAATGTTTCCAAATAGGGGGATGTGGGTGACCCCGAGGACCCGCAGCTGGCCTAGGTCTAGGCCTCAATCTGTTCAACTGCAGCACTTGGCCCTGCACATCCTATTCTGGGTGGTCGAGGGAAGGGCAGGAACGCTCCGGATTTGGTACGAAGAGCGTGCGCTCCCCAGTCGCAGGGCCAAGTGGCCCCAGTCCGGGGAAGTACTCCAGAAAAAAAACCAAAAAACAAAAACCAAAACCAACAAACAGACAAAAACACAACAAAAAAACCGACGCTAGTCCTTACTCCCCGAGGAAAATTCTGTCCGCTATTTTAGACACATTCCTCAAGGCTCGAGGAGGAACGTGGGGGAGGGGAAAAAAGAGTTTCGGGGCTTCGAGTGACCAAACTAAGAGAAACTGCACCCTCGGGCAGCGACCTTTCCCCGCCCTCCGGAGAGGCCTCGGCCTCACCCCGCTCCTGTCCCCAAGACCACCCCAGAGAGGGCCCGCGACCCCCTAGCGTCTCCACCTGACCCGCAGGAAGGCGGGGGCCGCGAGCTGCTGCCCACGGAGAACTCGCACTTTTTCGCTGCGCGATTCAGAAACACGCCGGGTCTGATGCCATCCGGCGAATTATGTAACCAGGGACACCGCTCCCCGGCTAAACAAACGCGGCTGTGTGTGTGCAGCCGCGGCCCCGGGGAAGCGCACCGGGGCAGGGAGGGGCTCCGGCCAGGCCTCGGGGTCGGGCTCGTAGGCTCAGCGAACGCGGCAGCAGGGCCAGAGCGCCGAGGTCCCGGGCCCAGCGCAGGGCCGCGGGCGGGCCAGTCGGGTCCCGCAGGCTCGGCCCCTCCCCCACCGCGCCCGCCCCCGCCTCCAGGCGGTGAACTTGGTCCCAAGTCCCGCAGGACACCGTCACCGCCCGCGGCCAGAGCGACCTCGGGCTTGGGGGGGCACTGGGAAGTGCTGGACTCTCCAGTTCCCGCTCCATTCCAGCTCGGGACCCTTCCGTCCTCCTCCCCACCCCTCTCCCCCACGGCCCTGGAGCGGCTGCGCGCAGTCGTGTGGGAAAGTGACGACCCCACCTCCCAACTCGGCAGGGGGACGGACGCGGGTGACTCGCGCTTCCAGCGCTACTCCTCAGTCTCTGCGTACGGGGGGAGGGGGTGCAGGACGGGGTGACAGCTGCGCGATGACGCCCCTCCCCCTCGGGCGCCAGAAGCCCGGGCCCCGCGCAGCCCCATCAGGGGTCTGAGTGCGGACAGAGACGCGGGGGCGGATGGAATAGGGGAGTCGGGTCGGAATCGCCGGCTCTGATCCCCAGGAGGTCAGGGACCCGGACTCGGGTTGCGGGCTGTGCTAGCCCCCCACCCGGGCGGGGGCGACGCAAAGTTTTGGGAAGTTGCTGCCCCTACCTTGCTTGGTGAGCACCAGGGCGTCTTCCCTCCGCGCCTGGGTGATGATGGAGCCGTGTTCCATCTAACAATCCCGCGGGCCCGGGCTGGCTGGGCGGGAGGACCGGCGGGCGCGCAGGCTGGGCTGGGCTGGGGGGCCTGGGCGGGGGCCCGCTCCGGCTCCGGCTCCCGAGACTCGGACTCCCACAGCTGTTCACATCCCTGCTCTCGTTTCCTCCCTGGGCCGGGAAGGGAGGCGGCCTGTATGGAGGGCAGGCGGCCCGGGCAGCGGCTCCCCCGGGTGCCCCCGGCCCCGATCCCCCGGCAGCAGCTCCGGGCTCCTCAGTTTGGGTCCAACATGGAGAATCCGGAGCGAAAACAAGAGGAGGAAATGGGACACGGGGCGGTTTCCAGGCTCCCCCCTCCCCTCCGTACTCCGGATAAACAACCCGCGGCTGCAGCGCCCACCCCCGCGCGCCTCGCGGCCCCAGACCCGGCCGCTCCACGGCCCGCCAGCGCCTCCCTCTCCAGAGCACTGTCCTAGGCCCCAGGACCCTCCACCCGTGAGCGGCCGGGGCTGCGGAACATCCGGAGCTTTGCTATTTTGTTACGGAAAAAGCGAATCCCCGAGGGGGGTGGGGTGGCGGGCGGGCAGGCTGGCGGGGGAGACTTGAAACCGCTCCTGCGCTCCGATTGGCCCTCTCGGAGAAAAGAGGCGTGGCCCCTCCTTACTATGCGGTGCGAGGACCCAACAACATTCCAGTCGCTACGGCCACGCCCCCGGGCCACTCCCCCCTCGCCCGGCTGAGGCCTCCCAGTCTCCTCGGCCACACCCCCTTCCCAACTACTTAAAAGGACACTCCAAAGCACACGTTTCCCTACTCTGGCTGGTGTGTTCACGTCTGTGCGTCGCTTCTCGGGTAAGGTGGAATGGTTCCGCCCTTCGGGTAACCAGGGCAAGCCGCGAATCCTAACCCAGGTCCGGCCAGGATGGGAGGGCTCGGGGCAGTTTTCTTACTTCCGGCTTCGCCCTCGAATCGTGGACCCCCAGTTTCACATAAAAGTACAACCAGTGAATCTTGAAAGGGATGTGGGTGGGAGGCGGACTTGGGACCCCAGAATATCAGAACTGGAACTGACCTCGGGACTGTCTGACCTACAGTTCAAATGAGACCTGAGTCGCAGGGCTTTGCTCAGAGCCACTCACTCATTCCCATTCAGGGCTTACCTCCTCCCCGCCCCCTTCCCCTGTCGTCCCAGCTTCAGATTAGATGGATAGAGTTCTCTAAGGGAAGAGCTTTTGCTCGGCTGACTCAGTGCTGCCCTCCTTCTTTGCTCTTAGGCCTCAGGCACCCTCCCCTGGCTATGGCTCCTGGACTTTTCAAGGCTTTAGGTGAGGGATATACACACATTTGCTCCCAACGAGTGAGAGTTCCAGAAAGGCAAGTTTCAGCTCAATATCAGGCCCTTTCCAGTGAGCTACATCTGTCCACAGGTGACATGGGCTGTTCAAGGCTGGCAGGAGTGTTGTAGGGTGACTGCACCAGGTGACTTCTGAGCTACTTCCAAACCTAATAGTCAATGATTTAATGGAACTCACCTACCAAGGAAGGCTCTTCCAGAGGGTCAGGACTTCTCTGGTCCCCGGCAAGTGGGAGCAGCTGATGGCCTTCCCTCTGCAGTTTCCATTGCCCAACATACACCAGGCCTCATGGGGGGGGGCGGGTGTAGGACAAGTAGGTCACATCTTAAATCCTCAGGTACCATCAAATACCTGTCCCCCCACGGTCCCTCCTTCATGAGGACAGGTGAGGTTGTGATGTGTATCAGCCTGTGTGCCTTAATAGTGCTCATGCGTGCCTGGTTCTTCTGTTCCTACACACACACACACAAAACCTTTTTATATAACACCATGTTAATGGAAATGCTGTTTTTCCAAGATGAAAGCTGTTACAGAAGATCTGAATGGTGCTTATGTAACTTTAAAAACTGAGTTTGGGTACATCTTAATTCATTAACGGAAGGGGAAAGGGAGGAGTTCTTTTTTCTTTTTTTAAGATTATTTGAGAGAGAGAGAAAGAGCACTCGAGCAGGGTGAGGAGCAGAGGGAGAGGGACAAGCAGACTCTGTGCTGAGTTTGGAGTCTGACACAGGGGCTCTATCTCACGACCCTGAGATCATGACCTGAGCCAAGATCAAGAGTGGAACACTTAATGGGACACTTCACCAACAGGAGCCCCACGGAGGCGTTCTTACGTATTTATCTCCCCTCATTATTAAAAGATCACTAAACCAATAGAATTCTTAAAGGTAAATCTTCAGTAGTCAGGGTGTGGGGGGCCCTTTTTGGGCCCTGCCCCCTGCCCCTTTGCAAGGTAGTTGGGTTGGGACGGCAGGAGGAAGAGTGCAGGCAGGAGCTGAGAACTGAGGATTGAGAGACACCTGCTACCCCCAATTCTGTAGTGGTGGGCAGGACATTCCATCTCTCTAGGCTTCTGTTTCCTCATCCATGGAGACAGTCCCTCCCCCACTTATAGTTTACAAAATACTTTCACATGCACTCTCTATCTCATTTAATCTCTCATTTCCTTGAGGCTGACAGAGCAATTTTATGCCCATTTTGTCAACGAGGAAACGGTCTGGAAAGGTTAATTGACTTACCTAAGGTCTCTCACAAGCTTATTAAGAGGAGGAGGCAGGACTAGAATTTTTCTTTAGACTTTGAAGACTAGAATTCTTGAACCTTTACCATAGTTCCTTTCCTATGTATAGAATGGAGGAAATACTAGAACCTAGCCACTATCTTTTCTTGCTAAGAACGCTAATTCATCACCTCCTCTGGGAAGCCCTCCCAGATACCCAGTCTCACATTAGGGCTTTAAAGCCTCCTACACACTCTCTTAAAGCACTTAGCATTTTGCCTTGCAACTGACAGTTTGCTTATCAGCTTCCCAACCAGAAGATGGATTGAGATGATTGAGACTAATGAATTATGTATTATTTATTAGTGTGTCTCTTGTACCTAGCGTGTTGCCTGCCACAGGGCAGGCAGCCTTATGTGTTTGCTGTATGAGTCTTGACTCTGTGTCTTAACCAGTGCTCTTTTGTCCAGGAGTTCAGAGCCCCACAGCAAGAAACACATTTTATATTGTAAGATAACTAAAACAAGTTTCCTGGGACAGTATTTACCCTTGCTATGTACATGCACTCTGATATTTTCTTTTTTGAGTACAAGCTTTTTTTTTTTTTTTTGAGATTTATTTATTCGAGGGAGAGAAAGAGAGAGGGAGGGCATGCATGTGTGTGTGGGTGAGGGGTGGGGAGCAGGGGCAGAGGAGAGACCCTTCAAGCGGACTCCCCGCTGAGCACGGAGCCCATCTCCAGGCTCCATCCCACAACCCATGAGATCATGACCTGAGCCAAAAAACCAAGAGTCGGACTTAATGGACTGAGCCACCCAGGTGCCCCCTGATATTTCTGTTTTCTATCTTGTATTTCATGTTTTCAAGGTGCTGGCCATGACCCCCCAATTGATTTCATGACCCACTACCAGGTAGTGACTTACAGTTGGAACAACTATATCTCCTGTCTGTTGTAGAGGCCTTCTCTGTATAGGGTCTAGCTGTCCCTAAAAGATGCAGGAGATGGCACTCAAGTCCCCATTGTTCTGAGGTCAAAGCAAGGTTTATGTATAAGAAAATAGACAGAAACCCTTCCAAGACTAGAGAGAGGCACAAGGGCGCAAATAGATCTCAGGGTGGGGGCGACAGGTGAGGGAAGGTCCCCAAGAAGCCTGGTGGGAATCTTTGTGCCTCCAGAAATTAAAAGGCAGTGTCAGAGTTCCTGGAGCCTGGAACCCCCAAACACAGGTAGGCCATGGGCCTCTTCCTGCTCGGCTCCCAGATTAGAGGTCTCCACCTGAGAAAGCTCTCGGTTACACGGGTGGTGGAAGCGGGAGGTAGGTGGACATTCCCACTTCTGCCTAAAACAGCCTCTTCAATAACCTCCTGCTTCTAGGCCCGGGGCCAGGTGCTGGCTGTGTGACTGGGTAGGCTGTTTAATTAGGTTTAGGGTGACAGTTGAAGCCAGGGCTCTTTGGGCCTGACAGCTCTTCCGAGAGAAAGCTCACCTACCTGCTTCATCCCTTTGCCTCACCCTTACCTCACCTGGAGCGTTGGTGAGGGGCAGTAGGAAAACAGAAGCACCCCCCCCCCACTACCACCGAGTGCCAGAACCCTGGGGCCATGAGGGTGGGGCTCAAAGGAGCGGCTGTCCCTGTCCGTCTGTTGTAGCTGCTGGAGTGGGACCCGGTGTTCCTAAGCAAAGCTTTGGGAAAGGGAAACAGAGCTGGAGGGGCTTCCTCCCAGGGAGGTGCATGCTGCTCCAGAACCCTGCCCCTTTCACCACAGAAAATAAACATAGGGTTGGGCCAAGGGACACCTTTCGTGACCTTCTGATGTCACTGAAATGTTCCATTTAAAAAAAGTGTTTATTTTTATTACAAACGGAACACATCCATTTTCTTGGTTTCTCTGATTGTCCCTGCAGAGTCTCAGTTCCGTTTTGTATTATAACTGGGAAGGTGGGGTCTATGCGCCAGGGTTCCAGAGCCCGGTGCCCTCCTGTCACAAGGCTTGCTCACTCCTGTCCTGGCTGCTCAGAGCAAGGTCCTGAGGGGGCGGTGGGTTGGGTTGGGTCGGGTTGAGGGGACAGGGGAGTGAACAGTTGGTGGGGGTGCCAGATCCTGGGGGCTGGGGAAGAGCTAATGGGAGTGGGTATAGCTTCTCTGTAGAGTAGCCTGGGACACCTCACTGGGGCCTCAGATTGGGGAAGATTCATTCTGCAAGGTGCAGGCATGCTGATCATTCCAACTCTACCGCTTAGTTACTTAACCTTTTGACTACCTTCCTCATATGAAAATGGGGATAACACTAGACCTACTTTATAGGTTATTGTGAGAATTAAATGAGATAATATGTGAAGAGTTAGTGCCTGAAACACTGGGAGTGTTTAGGAAATATCACTCTCACCAGCATCAGCCTTCCCTCCAGACCTGTTCCTTCTGCATCTGCCCAGTTCCCCAAGCTAGAAACCTGAGGTCACCCAAGACTCTTCCTCCTCATGTCCACCCCCAATCAGTCCTGCAGACCAGGGCCTCTTCCCCTTCCAAGTATTATTAGTCAGGCCTTGTCCTCCTTTACATTCCTGGCTGCTACCTCAAGGGAGGCTGGCAAGAGGCTCCTAACCAACCTCTTTCCTTCTCTAGGTCCCAAATTCAAATCCTAGCTCTCCTAGAAGATGCAGATCTCATCCTGTCTATGTGGAACTTTCAGGATGGAGCTCAGATGCCTAGCCGGGCACAGATGGTCTCCAAGATCTGGCTCCTGTTGGCTTACCTACCCCATCTCCTACACCTTTCACACACCCACCCATGCTTCTGTCCAGAGAAACCAAGCACCTGTGATTCTTTGACACCCTTTGCCTCCATACTTTTGCACATGCAGTTCTTTCTGCCTGGATGCCTTGCTTCCTCTCTGTGGCTGACTCCTCCCCCTATCAAATACATTTCAATTGCCACTTCTTCCTCAAATCCTC